ACGTATATATACGACCAAAACAGTCAAAGGGTTAAACAACCAAGGTGACATCACATATCCTTGTCTAGGACCTACTTTTACTGGGAAATAATTTCCCTCTTTCCTACATATTCTAACTTGAGCCTCACTATCCTCATAAAAACTCTTCACTGCTTTCAGTAACCTACCTATATTACCATACACCTGCAACATCTGCCACATTGCCCCCCATCCACCCTGTCATACGCCTTTTCCAAATCCATAAATGCCACAAAAACCTCTTTAGCCTTATCTAAATGCTGTTCACTTATATATTTCACTGTAAACACCTGGTCCACACACCTCTACCTTTCCTAAAGCCTCCTTGTTCATCTGCTATCCTATTCTCCATCTTACTCTTAATTCTTTCAATAATAACTCTACCATACACTTTACCAGGTATACTCAACAGACTTATCCCCCTATAATTTTTGCACTCTTCTTTTGTCCCCTTTGCCTTCATACAAAGGAACTATGCATGCTCTCTGCCAATCCCTAGGTACCTTACCCTCTTCCATACATTTATTAAATAATAGCATCAACCACTCCAAAACTATATCCCCACCTGCTTTTAACATTTCTATCTTTATCCCATCAATCCCAGCTGCCTTACCCCCTTTCATTTTACCTACTGCCTCATGAACTTCCCCCACACTCACAACTGGCTCTTCCTCACCCCTACAAGATGTTATTCCTCCTTGCTCTATACAAGAAATCACAGCTTCCCTATCTTCATCAACATTTAACAATTCCTCAAAATATTCCCTCCATCTTCCCAATACCTCTAACTCTCCATTTAATAACTCTCTTCTCCTATTTTTAACTGACAAATCCATTTGTTCTCTAGGCTTCCTTAACTTGTTAATCTCACTCCAAAACTTTTTCTTATTTTCAACAAAATTTGTTGATAACATTTCACCCACTCTCTCATTTGCTGTCTTTTTACATTGCTTCACCACTCTCTTAACCTCTCCCTTTTCTCCATATACTTTCCCTCCTTGCATCACTTCTACTTTGTAAAAACTTCTCATATGCAAACTTTTCCTCCCTTACTACTCTCTTTACATCATCATTCCACCAATCGCTCCTCTTCCCTCCCACACCCACTTTCCTGTAACCACAAACTTCTGCTGAACACACTAACACTACATTTTTAAACCTACCCCATACCTCTTCGACCCCATTGCCTATGCTCTCATTAGCCTATCTATCCTCCAATAGCTGTTTATATCTTACCCTAACTGCCTCCTCTTTTAGTTTATAAACCTTCATCTCTCTCTTCCCTGATGCTTCTATTCTCCTTGTATCCCATCTACCTTTTACTCTCAGTGTAGCTACAACTAAAAAGTGATCTGATATATCTGTGGCCCCTCTATAAACATGTACATCCTGAAGTCTACTCAACAGTCTTCTATCTACCAATACATAATCCAACAAACTACTGTCATTTTGCCCTACATCATATCTTGTATACTTATTTACCCTCTTTTTCTTAAAATATGTATTACCTATAACTAAACCCCTTTCTATACAAAGTTCAATCAAAGGGCTCCCATTATCATTTACACCTGGCACCCCAAACTTACCTACCACACCCTCTCTAAAAGCTTCTCCTACTTTAGCATTCAGGTCCCCTACCACAATTACTCTCTCACTTGGTTCAAAGGTTCCTATACATTCACTTAACATCTCGCAAAATCTCTCTCACTCCTCTCTTCTTCAGGTGCATACACGCTTATTATGACCCACTTTTCGCATCCAACCTTTACTTTAATCCACATAATCCTTGAATTTACACATTCATATTCTCTTTTCTCCTTCCATAACTGATCCTTCAATATTATTGCTACCCCTTCCTTAGCTCCAACTCTCTCAGATACTCCAGATTTAATCCCATTTATTTCTCCCCACCGAAACTCCCCTACCCCCTTCAGCTTTGTATTACATAGGGCCAGGACATCCAACTTTTTTTCATTCATAACATCAGCAATCATGTTTCTTGTCATCCGCACTACATCCACGCACATTCAAGCATCCCAGTTTTATAAAGTTTTTCTTCTTCTCTTTTTTAGTAAATGTTTACAGGAGAAGGGGTTACTAGCCCATTGCTCCCGGCATTTTAGTCGCCTCATATGACACGCATGGCTTACGGAGGAAAGATTCTTTTCTGCTTCCCCATGGACAATAGAAGAAATGAAGAAGAACAAGAGCTATTTAGAAAAAGGAGAAAAACCTAGATGTATGTATATATATGCAAAACAACCACTGTGAAAGAGTAGTGAAATTCCAAGCGCTTTTGTGACTACTCACATTGTCAAGGAACTATGAAAGTAATACATCTAAGGAAGGCAATTAAAGGGCTTAGACCTTTAATAGTTCCTTGACAATGTGAGTAGTCACAAAAGTGCTTGGAATTTCACTACTCTTTCACAGTGGTTGTTTTGCATATTTTAAAATCACCTGTTTACTGTGATCTTATTGCATGTATATATATATATGCATGTGCGTGTCTGTGAAGTGTGACCAAAGTGTAAGTAGGAGTAGCAAGATATCCCTGTTATCTAGCGTGTTTATGAGACAGAAAAAGACACCAGCAATCCTACCATCATGCAAAACAGTTACAGGTTTCTGTTTCACAGTCATCTGGCAGGACGGTAGTACTTCCCTGGGTGGTTGCTGTCTACCAACCTACTACCTGAAATTATTATAATTTTTTTTATGATTATTATTATAATGATAATAAAAAAAAGCGCTAAACTCACAAGGGTCGTGAATAGCTATAGATAGTGTGAAGGCATACGAAAGGAATAAATTTCTAGTTAAGTTACTGGTGTTTGACTAGAGAAAACATAATTCTTCGACTCTCCTACCAAACGCTTGGTAAACAAATCTCATATTTATGTCAGTTTTTATACTGTGGATGTATGGAGCATGTTTATTATTTAATTTTGAAAAAGTATCATAGATGGATTAATGGAAATGTCTATATTAACGTAATATACGACATCTAATGTGCCCAAGAGATTATAGGGCATCGAGTAGAGAGAGACTTAGTGATTTTAATGTGTACCTGCACACCAGCACAGTGTGTAAGTATATATAGGTACAGGTACACTTAAGTATAATTTTTTTTTTTTTTCAACAAGTCGGCCGTCTCCCACCGAGGCAGGGTGACCCAAAAAAGAAAGAAAATCCCCAAAAAGAAAATGCTTTCATCATCATTCAACACTTTCACCACACTCACACATAATCACTGTTTTTGCAGAGGTGCTCAGAATACAACAGTTTAGAAGCATATACGTATAAAGATACACAACATATCCCTCCAAACTGCCAATATCCCAAACCCCTCCTTTAAAGTGCAGGCACTGTACTTCCCATTTCCAGGACTCAAGAGTACATATAAAATACAGTGGACCCCCGGATTTTTTAATATTCAGAAATAGTAATGCTTTTTCATCAAAATATTGGCTCGGTGATCGTCACTGAGTAATAGTCACTCGTCCTAAATGCGTCCACATGGTAACACTGGCCTGACACTTAGTGTGCCATTGCTTATCAGCCAGTGGGCACGATCCAACTCATTCATATGATACATTTCGTATTATTCCATTCATTTTAGAGCTTGCAACTGCTAAATAAGCCACCATGGGCCCAAAGGAAGTTCCTAGTGCCAGTCAGCCCTTTGGTAAAGGGCTGAGAGAGAGGGAAGAATGTACCTTCTTCAGTGATTCTGCGATATGTACGATACTATAGCAGTCGGAGTCGATAAAGGCTATAACGCCAGCCAGTGATAAAGTGTAGCATTAACAGTGTAGCAAATAAGTTAAGCGATTAATCGATAGAAAGAGGACAGCACAAAACTGACTCCTCCAATGTTGTTGACGACACTGCTGCCTCTGCTGCTGAAATCAGTGGCCCTTGTACACCCAACAACAAACAACACAGCAACACTAGTCACATACTAATGACATACTTTATCCATTCTAGAGTATATATCATGTTTCTATGTTATTAATATTGTTTATTATCTCATATTATATGAATTTTGCTAGATAAATAAGCTGCAGAGTTGATATTAGTGTCATATTGAAGGACTATCTTGTCCTGTCTCCCAACACACTCCCCTGCTGCCACCACAATTCCTAACATACATCAGAAACAGACCTCTCTAACACTTTTTGAGCGACAGGGGTCCAGTGACTCAAGCTGGTCATAGTGGCATTAAAAAACAAAAAACGGGGATTCCCCTTTCAAACAATATTAACTTCTCCATCCTCTCCCCTCCTCCCATCTTCCATACATCAACAAGTGTTCAATAAAGTTAAGTGTTCTTTTAATATTGTTTAATTCTGCATGTCTCATTGTTTTCTGTGTAGATAAATGTATATTTCACGTAAACAAACTATATTTTTTAATTCTTTTGGGGGTCTGGAATGGATTAATTGGATTTACATTATTTCTTATGGGAAAAATGAATTCAGAAATCATCAGATTCGGGTTTAGTCACTCTCTGGAATGAATCGATTATGATAACCGGGGGTCCCCTGTATGCAATAACTTTACAACATTTGAAATTTTGGAAAATTTCCAGACATAATAGAGCTGTGCTCACTAAGAATGTAAACAAACTGGGTGGGGCGCACCGTATTTGAAAGACCGCTTGCCGTATAGCAAATTTTGGTCATAACTTGAAATTGCCATATTAGCAGAACGCCGTAAAGCGGGGCCCTACTGTATATGATAATGGTTCAGTAAGTTATTATTACAACACTACAAGGGTTAGGTTAGGTAAGGTTCCTCACAAAACACGACAAGTGTTTCTTGACGCGAGTCTTAGATGACCTGCCATTGGAGCTTATGGCCATCTGACCAAGGCCTTCCACTGGCTTACCGGTCCAAACTCTTTTAAAATTATGGTCATAGTTATAACCATTTGTGAATTAAACACTACAACAATGTCTCTTTCGTTATTACTTTACCTTGATCTTCATGGGAAGGATGATCCTCTGTGCTGGATGGAGGAGACAGCTGACACAACACAAGATACAGGTGGCGATGACCTGCCTCTTCGCTGGCCCATATCAACATTCTTTGGCTGGAATCTCCATGACTTGTCCACCAGTACAGCAGATTATGAACCTAAAATAAAATGTCCAAAGAAGTCAAAACAATTCCAGACTTAAACTTCTGAATAAAGTCATCAATTATGAAGAATTTAAAGTGTAGAAAAGGTATAAGAAGTCTTAATTTCAATTAATTAGTTGTCATTTGTATCAGTGTGTGCCTGTCTGACTTCATTAAATAATGCAATGGATGAATTTACTCATTATAAATAATTTAACAAAGTTAAAAATGCTTTTCTTGTTTTTTAACATATCAGCCGTCTCCCACCAAGACAGGGTGACCCAAAGAAGAAACACTTTCATCATCATTCACACAAACACTGTCTTTGCAAAGGTGCCCAGATATGACAGTTTAGATGTCCCTCCCAACAGCCAATATCCCAAATCCCTCCTTTAAATTGCAGGCATTGTACTTCCCACCCCCAGGCTAACCAGTTTCCTTGAATCCCTTCATAAAATATTATCCTGCACATACTCCAACAGCTGATCAGGTCCCAAAAACCATTCATCTCCATTAGCTCCTATATATAACACTCGCACATGCCTACTTTATGTCCAGGCCCCTTGCACACCAAACCTCTTTTACACCCTCCCTCCATCCTTTCCTAAGATGACCCCTACCCCTCCTTCCCTCCACTACATCTGTAGTGGCATGACTTACAAAGGAAGAATTCTGTTCCACTTGCCCATGGAGATAAGAGGAAATAAACAAGAATATGAACTAGAAAGAAAATAGAAGAAAACCCAGAGGGGTGTGTATATACATGTTTGTACATGTATCTGTAGTGTTACGTAAGTGTATGTAGAAGTAGCAAGACGTACCCGAAATCTTGCATGTTTATTCTTCTTTCTTTCAACACACCAGTCATATCCCACCGAGGCAGGGTGGCCCAAAAGGAAAAACAAAAATTTCTCCTTTTACATTTAGTAATATATACAGGAGAAGGGGTTACTAGCTCCTTGCTCCCGGCATTTTAGTCACCTCTTACAACACGCATGGCTTACAGAGGAAGAATTCTGTTCCACTTCCCCATGGAGGTAAGAGGAAATAAACAAGAACAAGAACTAGAAAGAAAATAGAAGAAAACCCAGAGGGGTGTGTATATATATATATATGCTTGGACATGTATGTGTAGTGTGACCTAAGTGTAAGCAGAAGTAGCAAGACGTACCTGAAATCTTTCATGTGTGTGAGACAGAAACAAAAGACACCAGCAATCCTACCATCATGTAAAACAATTACAGGCTTCCGTTTTACACTCACCTGGCAGGACGGTAGTACCTCCCTGGGCGGTTGCTGTCTACCAACCTACTACCTAGAACTCGGTAAACTTTTTCCCCTTTAATTTTTACAATCTCTTTTGTCCCCCTTCTCTTTATATAAAGGAACTATACATGCTCTCTGCCAATCCCTAGGTACCTTTCCCCTTTTCATACATTTATTGAACAAAAGTACCAACCACTCTATATCTTCTCCCGCTGCTTTTAACATTTCTGTCATGATCCCATCAGTTGCAGCTGCTTTACCCCCATCATTCTATGTAATGCCTCATGCATCTCCCCATACTCACAGCCAGCTCTTCTTCACTCCTAAAAAATGTTATACCTACCTGGCCAATGCATGAAATTAGTGCCTCCTCCTCTTCATCAATCTTTAACAGGTCTTCAAAATATTCCCACAATCTTCCCAATACCTTCAACTCCCCATCTACTAATTCCCTTATTCTGTTTTTAACTGTTAAATACATTCGTTCCCTAGGCTTTCTTAACCTATTTACCTCACTCCAATATTTGCTCATATTCTCAGCAAAATTTGTTAACAACACCTCACCCATTCTATCATTTGCTCTCCTTTGTCACTTCTTCACCTCTCTTTTTCTCTCCATATACTCGACCCTTCTTATACAGTAGGGCCCCAATGATATGGCAGGTTAAGTTCCAGGCTATCGCCGGAAAGCAGAACGGCATTTTTTTCACTTATAAATGCTAGACAACTAGTTTGCACTAATTTATATCAAGTTACTTATAGAACAAGGCATTAAAAAACACAATATTAAGTAAAATACATAAACAGTACATTTATTACTTACCTTAAAATATTTGTAGTCTTATTAATGAAGAGAAGCGAGTAGTATTCATTTGTAGGAAGTCTGGTGTAGGTAGCCGATAGGTGTAGCCTGCCTGGGTTGCACCTACCGGCTACCTAAACTGTGGCCTAGAACCATATTATCATCATTGACAGACCTTGTTCACTGAATTTAATCGTTTCTAACAACTACCTTCAGATGCCATCATAAACGAAGGGAGAAGTAATGAATAATTCATGCCAAGAATTGTAAACAAAAACGGAGTGTTAAGGGAAGTGACTGGGCCAATCACAGATTCACACAGTTTCTCTGGTGCTGGACCAGAGAAAAACGTAATGTTTCCCCTCCACCTGGCTATCACACCTCCACAGCATATAAACATAGCATGTTTATATGTTATGTAACATGTTTCTTATATAATTTTGAAGAAAATATCACAGATGGATTAATGACAATGTTCATATTAATGTAAAATAAGACATTTAATGTGCCCAGGAGTGATTATTATTACGTACTATTAGTATTACTATGACATTAAGACTAGAGGGACACAGTGATTTTTATGTGTACCTGCACACCAGCAGTGTGTAAGTATATTTAGGTACAGGTACACAAGTATTATTATCAGAGCACATAAAATATGCAATAACTTTAAAACACTTGAAATTTTGTCAAGTCTCCAGACATAATAGAGAGATGTGCTCACATAGAATGTAAACAAACCAGATGGTGCACGCCTTATTTGAAAGACAGGTTGCCGTACAGCGAATTTTGGTCATAATTTGAAATCGCCCTATTAGCGGAATGCTGTAAGGCGAAATCCAAAAAGTGGGGCCCTACTGTATCATTTCTGCTTCATAGAAACCTTCCAAAAGTGACCTTTTTCTCTTATCACATCCTTTATCCTATCATTCCACCAATCACTCCTCTTTCCTCCCACATCCACCCTACTATAGCCACAAACTTTTGCCATGCATTCTAACAGTGCATTTTTAAAACTACCCCATCCCCTCTTCAACCCCCCTCTATCAATACTTGTAATAGCCCACCTTTCTCCCAACAACTGCTTATATCTCACTCTAACTTCCTCCCCCCTTAGTTTATAAACCTTCACCTCTCCCTTACTTGTTGCTGCCATTTTCCTTTTGCCCCAACTACCTCCTACTCAAACTGTAACTACAACTAAATAATGATCTAATATATCTGTTGCTCCTCTATAAACATTCACATCCTGAAATCTACTCAACTTTTTATCCACCAATACATAATTTAACCCTTCGACTGTCGCAAGCCCCTTTCTGAAACTGTCATTCTATGTCGCAAAATTATTGGAGGAAAAAAAAAAATTCTTATAAAATGGCAGTCTTTTCCTGATGGTAATGACACCAAAAGTACGAAATTTGGTCGAAAACTCACGGAATTACGCTCCCGTGAAGTTAGCGGTCTCAGCGACATATACGAATCAGCGATTTTGCCGACTTTGAGCCCTGTTTTTGGCCAATTCCGTTGTTCCGGTTGACCAAACTCATAGCTATTTCTTTAGAGCTCCATTTTTTCTATCAGTTGAGTACAAGAAACCCCCCATTTACCGATTTGAACTACCCAATAAAATGGTCAGAAATTGGCAATTTGGCCAATTTCATGCAAATTAAAAAAGATGCCAATTTCAAAATAGGTCCAGAATAAACAATGAAGACATTCTTGGCACTAAAATAACATAGCCTCTGTTCATTAGTCATGTCTCTAGGCCCCTCTTATATTACTATTGCTTTCTATTTTGATTTTTTATTCATACAAAAAATACAAAATTTACTGTTATGCAGACTACTGCATTATTGTAAAAATGGTATAATTAATATCAGTGCACTAGTGAAAGAATATTAGACTCTCCAGTTGACGTGTATTGAACGTGTTGTGTGATTTGCTTACTCCTGAACATTGCTAAAAATCGAACATTTCCGCTACTTTGAGCTCAATTTCAGGTCATTCTCATTGTGAAATTAATCAAAAAATCATCTCTATTTCTGTAATATGTTTTCCATTTTATCATGTGAGACCATGAAAACGAGAATACAATGATAAATACTATACAAAAATAAACCTCAAATTCGACGTTTTAATCCAAAAAAAGTCAGTTTTTTTTCTCATTATGCACTGCGTACTGCAGATTTTTTTTATGTGGTGCACACTTACCACACAGACCCATTCTCTCACATGTGGGCCTACTAGCTTTCTCCTGCTTGATTTGAAGCCGCTAGAATTATTGAGTATATATACGTCTGAAACACTGGCTCCTAAGTACAGGTCAGCCATCACAAATCCGGCAATCAGTTATTCGGCACTAATTTTGGCTAGCATAAGTTCAAATTTCCAGGGTCGCCACACCAACCTGCTGGTACTGTTTGGTGGCACTACTTGCTGCATAAGTCATTCCAATTTCTTTTTTTCCATTTATTGGTTTAACCTGCTTACTTTTAGCCCTACCCATGGTTCCAATGAATAAAAGAAATGTTTCTCATTATGTAAAGCACCTACACAGTACATTATCCATTAAAGATAAGGTGGCTTTGAAGCCACTGTCGGTTGCCATGAGCTCAGTCTCATGAAGCCGGAGAATATGCTTTATTATTACGCTAATATCAACACTACAGCTTATTTGCCTATCACAATTGATCTAATATGACATAAGAAACAATATAAATAACATAAAACATGTTAAATACTCCAGAATGAATATTATTTGGCATAACACCGAGCAGTTCAACAGAGTTATGAAGAGGATATGGTAAACAAATACCATTCTCCTATCCTTGTCTTGGTGGCTTATATTCGAGAAAACGGAGTATAGCACAGGGCTAACTATGATATACACTCGTACTCCACCATAAACATGAAACAAAAAAGTTATTTTCCCTCTATAGATTATCACACATAGCAGCATATGTGTAGAGAACCTAGGATAACCCCAAAAAAGTCAACGTGGCTTATTTTTAGTATCTGGCTTGGGTTAGCCATGTAAGATTTTTGGTAAATATTCGATTCCCAGCCAGGGTAGAAACATTAGGCGTGTTTCTCTACACCTGTTGTCTATGTTTACCCATCAGTAAATGGGTACCTGGGTGTTAGTCGACTAGTGTGGGTGTTATCCTGGGACACTGACCTAATTTTCTTGAAATACTCAGCATAACAAGCGACTTTCTATACAGTAGTATGTCACTGATGTCAGCTAGGCCTGTATACCTTGTACATGTATGTGTAGTAAATAAAGATATTATTATTATTATTATATTATTATTATTTTCCAATCTTCCAATTGGAAAATTGGAAATCAGATTGGAGGGAGAGAGTATGGAGGAGGTGAACATATTCAGATATTTGGGAGTGGACGTGTCAGTGGATGGGTGTATGAAAGATGAGGTGAATCATAGAATTGATGAGGGGAAAAGGGTGAGTGGTGCACTTAGGAGTCTGTGGAGACAAAGAACTTTGTCCTTGGAGGCAAAGAGGGGAATGTATGGAGTATAGTTTTACCAACGGTCTTATATGGGTGTGAAGCATGGGTGATGAATGTTGCAGTGAGGAGAAGGCTGGAGGCAGTGGAGATGTCATGTCTGAGGGCAATGTGTGATGTGAATATAATGCAGAGAATTCGTAGTTTGGAAGTTAGGAGGAGGTGCGGGATTACCAAAACTGTTGTCCAGAGGGCTGAGGAAGGGTTGTTGAGGTGGTTCGGACATGTGGAGAGAATGGAGCGAAACAGAATGACTTCAAGAGTGTATCAGTCTGTAGTGGAAGGAAGGTGGGGTAGGGGTCGGCCTAGGAAAGGCTGGAGGGAGGGTAAAGGACGTTTTGTGTGCGAGGAGCTTGGACTTCCAGCAGGCATGCGTGAGCGTGTTTGATAGGAGTGAATGGAGACAAATGGTTTTTAATACTTGACGTGCTGTTGGAGTGTGAGCAAAGTATAATTTATGAAGGGGTTCAGGGAAACCGGCGGGCCGGACTTGAGTCCTAGAGATGGGAAGTAAAGTGCCTGCACTCTGAAGGAGGGGTGTTAATGTTGCAGTTTAAAAACTGTAGTGTAAAGCACCCTTCTGGCAAGACAGTGATGGAGTGAATGATGGTGAAAGTTTTTCTTTTTTGGGCCACCCTGCCTTGGTGGGAATCGGCCAGTGTGATAATAAAAATTAATAATAAAATATTATTTTCTCAGTTGTTTGTTGGGTTATCTTATTCAAACTTGGGCAATGTATGATGGAAAAATATTTCTTCACGTACACCAAAAATGAAAGAAATCAGACCATAAATAGCGGAGTTCACTTCTCAGCCAATAGCGGCTGCTTAGCAGTATATTTTTGTATGGTTGCTATGGTTATATTCTCATTTTTTCAGTCTCATTTGATAGAATGAAAGATATATTACAGAAATAGATATGATTTTGATTGCTTTCATGACGAAAAATACCTTGAAATTGCGCTCACAGTAGCGAAAATGTTCTATTCTTTAACGAAGCTCAAGAGTAAACAAATGACGTCACCGTCCAATACCTGTCCGCCTGCCTGTCCAAATTCCAGTACGGAGTCAAGAATGGATCAACATTATTTATACAATTATTATAATGCAGTAGTCTGCATAACAGTAAATCTATTTTTTTTGTGAATAAAAATTCCAAATGGTAGGCAAGAGTAATATAAGAGGGGCCTGTAGCTGTGACTAATGAACAGAGAAAATGTTATTTTAGTGCCAGGAATGTCTGCATTGTTTATTCTGGACCCTATTTTGAAATTGGCATCTGTTGAAATTTGTGTGAAATCGGCCAAATTGCCAATTTCTGACCACTTTATTGGATAGTTGAAATAACTGAATGGGCGGTTTCTTGTACTCAGTTGACAGACTAGAAGTAAATAAGTTTATTCAGGTATACACAAATACAGTTACATAGATTATCATACATATCAGTGTATGTATAGAGAACCTGGGATAATCCAGTAAAGTCAGACAAAGTGACTTATTTCCAGTACCTGGCTTGGGCTTGCCATATATGATTTTTGGTATATATCTTTTTTTCTCGGTTGTTTGTTGGGCTATCTCATTGAAACTTGGGCAATGTATGATGGAAAGATGCTTCTTAATGTACAACAAAAATAAAAAAGACGGACGATAAATAAAGGAGTTCACTTCTCAGTCATTAGCCGCCTCTTTGCAGTATATTTTCGTATGGTTTTATGGTTGTATTCTCATTTTTTGGACTCATTTGATAAAATGGAAGATATATTACAGAATAGACATGATTTTGATTGCTTTCATAACGAAAAGTACCTTGAAATTGAGCTCAAAGTAGCGGAAATGTTTGATTTTTGCCGATGCTCAATGAACTGTTTAAGTCAAGTTGGTAAATTTTATTAAGTGTATTCTAACCTAACCACTCTATAATTCGGCAAACTCAGTAATCCGGCACACTACAGGTCCCAATGATGCCGGATCTGTGATGGAGGACCTGTAATATATTTACAACCAAACCAGTCAAAGGGTTAACAAACTACTTTTCATAATATGCTATATCATATCTTATTTTTTTTTTTATTAACACACTTGCCAATTCCCACCAAGGCAGGGTGGCCCGAAAAAGAAAAACTTTCACCATCATTCACTAAATCACTGTCTTGCCAGAAGGGTGCTTTACACTACAGTTTTTAAATTGCAACATTAACACCCCTCCTTCAGAGTGCAGGCACTATACTTCCCATCTCCAGGACTCAAGTCCGGTCTGCCCGTTTCCCTGAATCCATTCATAAATGTTACTTTGCTCACACTCCAACAGCACGTCAAGTATTAAAAACCATTTGTCTCCATTCACTCCTATCAAGCACGCTCACGCATGCCCGCTGGAAGTTCAAGCCCCTCGCACACAAAACCTCCTTTACCCCCTCCCTCCAACCTTTCCTAGGCCAACCCCTACCCCGCCTTCCTTCCACTAGACTGATAAACTCTTGAAGTCATTCTGTTTTCCTCCATTCTCTCTACATGTCCGAACCACCTCAACAACCCTTCCTCAGCCCTCTGGATAACAGTTTTGGTAATCCCGCACCTCCTCCTAACTTCCAAACTACGAATTCTCTGCATTATATTCACACCACACATTGCCCTCAGACATGACATCTCCACTGCCTCTAGCCTTCTCCTCACTGCAACATTCATCACCCATGCTTCACACCCATATAAGAGCGTTGGTAAAACTATACTCTCATACATTCCCCTCTTTGCCTCCAAGGACAAAGTTCTGTGTCTCCACAGACTCCTAAGTGCACCGCTCACCCTTTTCCCCTCATCAATTCTATGATTAACCTCATCTTTCATAGACCCATCCACTGACATGTCCACTCCCAAATATCTGAATATGTTCACCACCTCCATACTCTCTCCCTCCAATCTGATATCCAATCTTTCATCACCTAATCTTTTTTTTATCCTCATAACCTTACTCTTTCCTGTAATCATTTTTAATTTTCTTCTTTTGCATACCCTACCAAATTCATCCACCAATCTCTGCAACTTCTCTTCAGAATCTCCCAAGAGCACAGTGTCATCAGCAAAGAGCAACTGTGACAACTCCCACTTTGTGTGATTCTTTATCTTTTAACTCCACGCCTCTTGCCAAGACCTTCGCATTTACTTCTCTTACGACCCCATCTATAAATATATTAAACAACCACGGTGACATCACACATCCTTGTCTAAGGCCTACTTTTACTGGGAAATAATCTCCCTCTTTCCTACATACTCTAACTTATATCCTTATTAATCCTCTTTCTTTAATTTTTAACCTTCCTGACAAATAATTTAACTGACTAAAGTAAACTATATTAGATTTGTATAGACACTGTAGGGACTTGGAAGGGGTGCATTTATACAAAAGACAGTGAATTACCAATAGAAGTAGGCCTGCTACACAGACGAATTTTCGCAAAGTTAATCAGCATAAAGCGAGGGGGTAAAACTTGTCCTCTATAATATTTCCTATTAACAAGCAATATCAAGCAGTTTGGAGGGATATGTTGTGTATCTTCATACGTATATGCTTCTAAACTGTTGTATTCTGAGCACCTCTACAAAAACAGTGATTATGTGTGAGTGAGGTGAAAGTGTTGAATGATGATGAAAGTATTTTATTTTTGGGTCACCCTGCCTCAGTGGGAGACGGCCAACTTGTTAAAAAAAAAAAAAAAAATCAAGTGAGCTTAAAGAATTTACTATAACAATTCTTCCTTAATTGGTGTGTGTACACCACTTGGTTAACTAATAAAAGAAAGAAAGTACAATACTTACATCTATCCAGGTATTGGAGTGTTCAGAGACAATAACATGAGGGGAGAGGAGCGGCGGTGATGGAGCAGACGGTGTAGCCGGACTCTTCTGGCCAGTGAAAGATGACAGAGACAGTAAAATCAACTCAAGCCGCTGTTGTCGTCTGTCTAGAAGCTGACACCAGATCCTACCAGCAACAAGATAATATATAAATCACTTACACTTTGCTTTCATACAGAAAGTTACGACATATTTAGCTATTTTCCAATTTTTTTGTCATTTTTTTATCTGCCTTCCCATACTTGCAAAAATCAAGCACAACTGCCAATTTCTTGTTTAACAATGTGCAACACATCCTTCAATGAACTAAAATAATGGTTCTGAGAATAAAAACTCTTTTCTGAATTAGGGCATGGAAGCCCATTTGCTTAAGTCAAGGACTACAAGCCAACTTAAATTTTCACGAGTCTTAATAATATTTAATCCTACAAGTGTATGATAAAACTTGCACAGACTTAGCTGACATCTATGATACACTACATAGAGAGACCCCTGGTTATGCAAAGTATTTCTGGCAACTTTAGTTAATCTTGTCCCCAAGGATGCGGCCCACACCCACTGACTAACACCCAGGTAAACAGGATCAGCATGTGTAAGGAAACACGCCAAGTGTTTCCACTCATACCGGGGATCGAACCACGGACTCTCAATGTGTGAGCCGAGTATGCTACCAACCAAGCTACGGGACAGCCCTGACACACTGTACACATTTCTTAAGCAAATGTAGTGTGCTGGATGGTCTAAGTTATGGTAAAAATGGGATATGATACTGACAGGTTGTTGGAAAAAAGACAAATTGCAAACACTAGGACATTTAAATTGTTGGAAACTTTTGGTCCTGGAACCCTGGTCACTCCAAGGTGTGACCAAGGTTCCAGAACCGAAAGTTTCCAATAATACATCCAAGTGTTTGTAATTTGTCTCTTTCAGTCCAGGTTGTAAACACTACTAACAGTACCACTACTCCTGCTGCCAACAATACATACTGTATTTGACTGATGAAGCCTACCGAGAAGGTGAAACGTTTCAACAATATAGATACCCAAGTGTTGCATGTGAGTCTTACTCACCATAATTTTTCTAAAAGACAATAATAAACGTTTACAGTAGTACAAATGTTTACTATTGTTTTTTTTTTTCTCAACAAGTCGGCAGTCTCCCACCGAGGCAGGGTGACCCAAAAAGAAAGAAAACTTTGTTATGGTGCTGTATATGTGGGGCCCTCCTGTACATTGATTCACCTTGGCTAGAAGGATGTGCATGATGATCTGCCAAAAATAACATCCCAAAAATTTACAGATTTGCTGCAAAGTTCTAAACTTTTTATGAGGGGTGTTTTTTTTATAGTACTGTATTTCAACAAGTTACAAAATACTGATTAATAACTTAAATGCTAATTGCCAAGGCAGTACTATACATTTTATAAATTTTTAGCCTCCTGCCCAAAAATTTGTATGCACATTTTCTTTTCAACACACTGGCCATTTCCCACCAAGGCAGGGTGACCCAAAAAAGAAGAAAACACAGTCATCACTTGCTCCATCATTGTCATGCCAGAGGCATACCGATACTACAGTTCAAAAACTGCAACATATCTCTGCATGGAGATATGTTGGAAAACTTGAGAAAATTAAAACTATAAGGGTATAAAACAAATTCTAACCATACAATAGAGTGAAAAACTCATGTGAAGGACCTGTGAGTGATAATGTCAGAGGATCTCGCCTTCAAAGATCACAACAATGTATCTATCTCATCTGCTAGAAAAATGATATGATGGATAATAAGAAACTTCAAAACTAAGGACACCAACCCCATGATGATTCTCTTCAAAATTATTTGTTCGCTTTAGGCTGGAATACTGCTGTATACTAACTGCCCCATTCAAGTCAGGCGAAGTTGCTGATTTGGAGAATGAGAACTTTCACAGCACACAAGTACAATCAAGCACCTAAATTACTGGGAACAACTGAAGTCCCTTGATTTGTATTCTCTGGAACACAGGCAAGAAAGATACATGATAATATCTTTCTTTCTTTCAACACACCGGCCATATCCCACCAAGGCAGGGTGGCCTAAAAAGAAAAACGAAAGTTTCTCTTTTAAATTTAGTAATTTATATGGGAGAATGGGTTACTAGCCCCTTGCTCCCAGCATTTTAGTCGCCTCTTACAATACGCATGGCTTACGTAGGAAGAATTCTGTTCCACTTCCCCATGGAGAACATGATAATATATACTTGGAAAATCCTAGAGGGACTAGTGCCGAACCTGCACACGAAAATCACTCCCTACAAAAGCAAGAGACTCAGCAGGAGATGCAACATTCCCCCAATGAGAAGCAGGAGTGCCACGAGTACAGTAAGAGATAACACAGTAAGTGTCAGGGGCCCCAAGACTGTTCAACTGCATCCCAGCAGACATAAGGGGGATTACCAATAAACCCCTGTGTCTTCAAGAAGGCAATGGACAGGCACCTATGTATGCATACACAAATAATTTTAAAAGAAACGTATAAAAAAAAGAGAACAGGTTTGATATCTACCTACTGTAGTAAGGTAAAGACATTCACAGAAAAACCAGGTTAAAAATATACAAGTACTATACAAGTAATATACAAGTATTAGCTAATAGTGCTATGGAAAATTAACATATAATTCAATATAGAAAAAAATAAATAAATTTGAAGAAAATTTACAAGTTTTTAAGATAATACCCAAAACAAAATGTACCTTCAGAACCTGGGTCCCAAAGAATCACAAATGCAATGACTGGGGCCACAGAATGTGATTTCTGAGTTATTGGATAGTTTTAGTGAACACAGTTTCAATGCCCTGAAGAAAAAAATTCCTCTGGCCAATTACAAAATAAGCTTTAATTTTAACAGATACAAGTGTAAGAAAATTTAATTTGAAAAGTTATCACTTTAAAACCACAATGGTAAGGAAGCAGAAAAGTACTTGTTGAAAACCATAAGGTATCATGCCTAGGTGTGGCTACTTAATACTGTAAAACAAGGAAGGTACTAACTGTGTGCCATCAGGAACCCAGCCAACACGGACTAAGTACTCATGCCAAGGTGCTAGTTGCTTGAGATCATGGCGTAAGTGTCGTGTAGTCACTCTTAACTCCTCTGTTGGGCCTATTTCAACTTCTAGTATTCGTAACGTAGACTCCGCATTCGACATACCAGCTCGAGGAAATCTGAAATGTTGCAGTTTTACTGTTTACACATCTGACAATAAGGGTTTAGGTATACTTAATATAGGCATAATACCAAGTAGTCAATACACACTATTTGCAGTGAGGTCTTTATTGGTCCATTATTTTACCCATGAGTAGGCTTTTTCAAGTACATAGCACAATGAGAAAGATGACAGTTTATAAAGGTCATCTGGTGTGGGTGGTCAAGTAAAATTAGGCCAAAGAGTTGTATAGCACTGCAAGAGGCCTACTAGCCTCTTTGTCCTTAACACTCAAATCAAGCTGCAGTAGAACTTCTGTATTTGGATGCACCTTTATTCTTAAAATCCAGTATTCAAAAAAAAATTTGAGGAAAAAAGTACCGATATTCACAAATGTCACTATATTCAGAACAATGCATGCTTTTTTAGCTCGTGTGATTCAATTGTTATTTTTTGTATAACTTTTTTTTCAACATGTCAGCCATCTCCCACTGAGGCAGGGTGACCCAAAAATAAAGAAAAAATTTTCATCACCATTCAACACTTTCATCATCACTCATACATAATCAATGTCTTTGAAGAGGTGCTCAGATACGACAGTTTAGATATCCCACCAAACTGCCAATATCCCAAACCCTTCCTTTGAAGTGCTGGCACTGTACTTCCCATTTCCAGGACTCAAGTCTGGCTAACCAGTTTCCCTGAATCCCTTCACAAAATATTACCCTGCTCACACTCACATCCCAAAATCTTTCATATCCATTCACTCCTATCTAACACGTTCATGCACACTTGCCAGAAGTCCAAGCCCCTCGCCCTCGCCTCCTTTACCCCTTTCCCTCCAACCTTTTCAAGGATGACCCCCACCCCACCTTCCTTCCCCTACAGATTTATATGCTTTCCAAGTCTTTCTACTTTGTTCCATCCTCTGTAAATGACCAAACCACCTCAACAACCCCTCTTCAGCCCTCTGACTAATACTTTTAGTAACTCCACACCTCTTCCTAATTTCCACAATACGAATTCTCTGCATAATATTTACTCCACACATTGCCCTTAGACACAACATCTCCACTGTCTCCAGCCGCCTCCTCGCTGCAGCATTTACGATCCATACTTCACACCCATTTAAGTGTGTTGATACCAGTGTACTCTCGTACATTTGTGTCATATTTATTTTATTATTGAAAGTAAGTGATCATGGCCCAGAATAAGAATAGCAAAGAAAAACTTGAAAGTAAAGCTGTAAGAACCACCAATGAATTAAAAAAAAAAAAAAAAAAAAAAAAAAAAAAAGTATTTCAAAACATGAAAATGGAATATGTCTTGTTGACCCAACCAAGAAATATGGAATGTCAACATCTACCATATTTTCTATTATAAAAAATAAAGGCACAACAAAAAGTGCTGATGTGGCAACAGGAGTTAAATTCTTGCAGGGTTCACATACAATTTCTTGCTCGTTCATGATGTTATTTTACAAGTTTAATTAATCAATATTATGACTTAAAATGGTTTGTAAAGAGTAACTTTTAGGGTCTGGAATGAGTTAATTCAATTTATATTATTTCCTATGGAAAAAATTTGTCCAACATTCAGAAAATTCAATATTCAGAACATTCTCTGGAACCAATTAATTCCTAATACAGAGGTTCTACTGTATCAGGATTCTGTGAATCCTTTCACAGACAACAGTATGAGGTTATGACTCAACAGCATGTCAAATCCCCAAAACCACTCTCCTCCACTAACTCCAATCTAACACACAGATGCCTGCTGGATGCCAGAGCTTATCTTTCAAAACTACCTCCATACCCTCCTCTCAATCTTTCCTCAGACACCTACACAGCCTTCAATTAACCCCAGATTAATACAACCTCCTAATCAACCTATCTAGTATCTTTTCCATGACCAAGCTGTCTTAACCTAACACCATAGTCTCCCAATATCTTCACTCCTTATTCTCTGCAATATATTTACACCACACCCTGATCTCAAACAAATCATTTTCAATTACTGCAACATTCTTAAAACAAATTTGCTACTCATACAAAACAGCACTACTATACACAGACATGCATTTTCTTTTTCCCCCTGATGATGATAATGTTAGTGACATTATTCTTACTCCCAACATAATCCATAAAATACCTTTTGCTTCTGTTCATTACAGCCTCTCCTCACTTAGCACGTACTCATTTACTGACGACTTGGGCTCTCTGACGAGTATGCATACCTAAATAATATATATTAGAGCTGATTTCCTCTATTCTGTTTAATACAATATACAGTACACTACTGTATAAATATTTAAAAATATACCAGAAATGTTATAAAAGGTGCAAAGGTAACATTAAAACAATATCAAAGATGGTCGACACAAACCCACTACCATTATAGTATGCTCCTCACTTAGTGACGAAATTGTTTACCGACATGGTCTAAGGAACAGAACTCTGTTGTTAAGTGAGGAGAGGCTGTATTAGATAGCACTGTAATTCATATACAGCAACATCACCACTTGAGTATTAATGTTTCACAGGTTATCAGTGTGATCAACCAGGAGCTGTACAGCACCAAGGATTGGGAGCAACCAATTTTAATACAAGGGGAAGACAGCTAAAATTCCTTGGATTAAAGCTCTTCACCAGTATGAAGGTACATCTTATTAAAGGTAATGGTTCACAAAGGCACCTACAAACATGCCAGAATTTAAGCATCACTTAGTGGCAGTCTTCCATAATTAACATATTCCTTACTTTCATACCTGCCATTAATGACCCAATTTCACTTCACATGCTCCCTTCCCTTCTAAGTTGTTTCACACAAATCAAGCACATCAATCCTACTGATTTATGGGACTCTAGCAAATACATTCAAACAAATATGTCACTCTAGCTTAGTGGGAGGCAGCCAGTTTGTTGAAAAACAAATTCCCTTATTCAAGGCCCATTCTTCCTTATTTATTGCACATACTGCTGGGAATGCCATATCGATACCTTTCTATTTTATTAAATAAATAGGCTGGAGGCAGTGGAGATGTCATGTCTGAGAGCAATGTGTGGTGTGAATATAATGCAGAGAATTCGTAGTTTGGAAGTTAGGAGGAGGTGCGGGATTACCAAAACTGTTGTCCAGAGGGCTGAGGAAGGGTTGTTGAGGTGGTTCGGACATGTGGAGAGAATGGAGCGAAACAGAATGACTTCAAGAGTGTATCAGTCTGTAGTGGAAGGAAGGCGGGGTAGGGGTCGGCCTAGGAAAGGTTGGAGGGAGGGGGTAAAGGAGGTTTTGTGTGCGAGGGGCTTGGACTTCCAGCAGGCATGCGTGAGCGTGTTTGATAGGAGTGAATGGAGACAAATGGTTTTTAATACTTGACGTGCTGTTGGAGTGTGAGCAAAGTAACATTTATGAAGGGATTCAGGGAAACCGGCAGGCCGGACTTGAGTCCTGGAGATGGGAAGTACAGTGCCTGCACTCTGAAGGAGGGGTGTTAATGATGCAGTTTAAAAACTGTAGTGTAAAGCACCCTTCTGGCAAGACAGTGATGGAGTGAATGATGGTGAAAGTTTTTCTTTTTCGGGCCACCCTGCCTTGGTGGGAATCGGCCAGTGTGATAATAAAATAAAATAAAAAAACTTCAAATATATATATATTTTTTTTTAGCACACTGGCCGTCTCTCACCAAGGTGGGGTGACTAACAAAGAAAACACTTTCACTGTCATTCACTCAATTACTATCTTGCCAGAATAATAACAATATCTATGTTTCTACAAGTACATGTACAAGGTATACAGGCCTAGCTGACATCAATGACATATCACCATATTGAAAGCCCCTTGTTGTGGAGAGCACTTCGGGCAAATTAGGAAAATTTTGTCCCAGAATGCAACCCACACCAGACTACTAACACCCAGGTACCCATTTTACTGATGGGTGAACAGGGATGGCAGATGTCTTATGGAAACATGTCCTAGCCATACCGGGGATTAGATTCCCGGATTAGATCTCCTAGAAGGATGCTGACATCATAGCTCAGATGATCTTCCAACTGCAAAATCCCCATCCCAGCAATGTTATTTACTTTTATCAAATAAATATTCCTCAGTGAAGAACAAAATGGCACAATACCATGACTGGAACAACACACAAATAACCTGCACATAGGAGAAATTTGTGACAACATTTCAGTCCAACTTGGACCATTAGTTAATGGTCCAAGTTGGACTGAAACATCATCCTAAGTTTCTTCGTCCATATGCGGGTTGTGTATTCTTCAGCGATTTGTGTCTAACTTCTTCATTCTTAAATGGGTGAAGTACAAATACCAGACAAATACACCAATTTGAAGTATTAAACACTTCTGAAACATCTTTGGAAACCTCTAATGAATATTATACAAATTTAGAATATACAAATTTCACCTTCTCTATGCAATTAAATAAGAATGTACTGAATATAAAAAATAATGTTGTTAAAAATTAATTTGAAATCATAAAATTTCACACGAGATTCTAAGAGACTCACCTAAACTCATCAAGCATTCCCGCAGAATCATCGGGAAGGATGAACTGAACGATAGGAACTTCGCTCTCATCAACTTCCTCAAATAGTAATCGATACACACCATCTGTTGGCATTATCAATAATGAGTATGGAGTTTCAAATAAATATGGTGTAATGCAGTGGTTTCAATTACCGGTACTATTAAAAGAAGAGTTAGGAAAATCCACTAAGAGGGATTCAATGGTTGAGACATGGCAAGGACTGGCAGATAGTCACTGCCATCTTCATAAGATGTGAATATGATAATGGTATACAATATGTACTGACAAGATAGGTAGTAGGTTGGTAGACAGCAACCGCCCAGGGAGGTACTACCGTCCTGCCAAGTGAGTGTCAAACAAAAGCCTGTAATTGTTTTACATAATGGTAGGATTGCTGGTGTCTTTTTTTCTGTCTCATAAACAAGGTTTCAGGTACGTCTTGCTACTTCTACTTACACTTAGGTCACAATGCACATACATGTACAAGCATATACACCTACCATCCGACTTACGACCGAGTTCGGTTCCGAGAAACCGGTCGTAAGTCGAAATGGTCGTAAGTCGAACTTTACTACTGAATATCAACAAAACATTTTTGTAATGACTATTTTATTGTTTTATTTTGGTATTTCACGTTTTACTTTACTTTTTATGCTGTTAGTACTGTATTTTATACTGTAAGGTTTAGGATAAACACTTTGTACAACACAAATAGTTGTTCATTTCCCAGAAATTTGGCATAAAAAACACGGTCGTAAGTCGAGTGGTCATAAGTCGAGCAGGTCGTAAGTCGGATGGTAGGTGTATATGCACACCTCTCTGGGTTTTCTTCTATTTTCTTACTAGTCCTTGTTCTAGTTTATTTCCTCTTATCTCCATGGGGAAGTGGAACAGAATTCTTCCTCCGTAAGCCATGCGTGTTGTAAGAGGCGACTAAAATGCCGGGAGCAAGGGGCTAGTAACCCCTTCTCCTGTATAAATTACTAAGTTTAAAAATAGAAACTTTCGTTTTTCTTTTTGGGCCACCCTGCCTTGGTGGGATATGGCCGGTTTGTTGAAAGAAAGAAAGAATACTGACAAGCTGATATTCACATGTGCAAAAGAAAGGTATCTTACTTCTGAAATGCTTTGCCTACACAGGCTTCTTCAGTCTAATACTGAGGAGGCAGCAGAAGAAATAAAGATGTAAAGGCGATGTTATCAGTCCATCACCCTTGAAATCATAGTCTTCAACTGAAGAAGCCTCTGTGTAGGTGAAACATTTTGGAATAAAGATACCTAACTGCTGCACATGTGACTTACTGATCAACATCTTCAAGACATGCAAGAGTAAGAGAAATACGACCAATTCGGAGGAACCATAATCGCTCCATGTCATTGCGACTGAACTGCTTAATGTAGCTTGCAATTTAACATTGAGCAAATGGATAAAAATGTTTGTAGTTTAACCCCTTAAGTGTCCAGACCCCCTATCTGAAAAATGTCTACAGGGTCCAAGATATTAAAAAAAAAAAAAAAAATTGGTTTCTTTTTTTCTTATGAAATTGTAGAGAATCTTTTTCTGAATGTAATAACACAAAAAGCACACAATTTGATGGAAAACTTACAAAATTACACTTTCACAAATTCTGCCGTGTCAGTGATATTTACACATCATTTTGTCCAATTTGAGTCCTATTTTAGGCCAATTACAGTTTTTCATTTAACCAAATTCTTAGCTATTTTGCTAGTGTGGTTTCCATTTTATCAACTAAGCACAAGAAACTGAACCACCCAATCAACTATTTCAACTATGCAATAGAGATCAGAAATTGGTAATTTAGTCAATTTCACGCAAATTTCAAAATAGGGTCCAGAATAAACAATGTCGTAGTCTATAAGCCTACATGGCTAGTTTTTATAGTTGCCACCAGAAAGCAAGCCTAGTAGGCATGCCACTTCAACCCACATCACCCTGCCTCACTCTCACTTGGCATCCAGGCATTATAGAGTCAACAGGCCTACTCCTATGGCTCTCCTGGGCCAGGGCAACTTAAACACACTACCTGTGTACCCACGATTTCACAATTAAAGAAGCCTCTGAAGCCTTATCATTGCTCCCAGCTTGCACAACACGATGTAAATTATCAGAAAACAATGCAGGCCAGCATTCCTGGCACTAAAATAACACTTCCTCTGTTCATGTGAATTCCATTTTGAATTTTTATTCACAAAAAAAAAAAAAAAAATTACTATTAAGCATTATTATAATAACTGTATCAATAATGTCATGAACACATATGAGACTGACCAGTTACACACACTGAACAAGTGATGTGATTTGTTTACCCTGGAATATTGGCAAAAATCAAACATTTCTGCTACTTTGAGCTCAATTTCAAGCTATTTCCAGTCCTGAAACCAATCAAAGTCATCTCTATTTCTGTAATATATCTTTCATCCTATCAAACGAGACTAAGAAACTGAGAATAAAGCCATAAAACTCATCCAAAAATTCACCGCAAAGTCACTACAGTGGAACCTCAGTTTACGAGTGCCCCACCATGCGAATTGCTCAGGATACGAGCAGGTGCTCCGTCAATTCTTTTTTTCCGGATCCGAGCAAAAATTCAAACAACTTTGTTTTTAGACCTCCAGATCTTACAAAAGTAAAAGTGAATAGTATATAATTGTAGTTCATTGTCATGATGCATTATGTTGTTTTTACTACTTAAGACTATAACTGCAACAGAAATAATAATATTTCTTACCTTAAACTGTCGGCGCTGGTGTTTGTCGACGATTGTGAAGAGAGTGGAGAGTTACGCTGTGGCCCTACTGGACTGAGGTGGATGGTAGAGGTTCTGGTACTAAAGTCGATGGTTGTACTGGAGTGTGCATAAATACTGTAATGGACTTCTGTTCTATTTTACCCTGCAGTACATTATACAACTGATGGTAAGGTATCAGTTGCTGTAGACACCATTTCAGGGTCCTCTTCAGGGAAAAATTCTAAGTCATTAAGCCATTCAGTCAAGTCTGTAAATCATCCAGTCAGTCAAGTCATTTAGTCCAAGTCAGTCAGTCAATCAAGTCAGTAAGTCATTCAGCAACGCTGGTATGCCTACTGGGTTTCATGATTGCTTGGCAGATTGTACTAGATATGGTAATTAAAAGATCAAAACACAATTCACACACACAGTTAGCTTGTAGGAGAGAAGTGGAACTGAACACGTATTCACAAAGCTGAGAGGGTGGTGTCGGGAGTGTTGGGGGATGGCAGGGCATGGCGGGAGGTTTTCCCCACTGACCCACAACAAGGTGGCAACTTGAGGTAGGGAATGGCCGCCATCACTTGTCACATAATGACATTGTATTCATTCTAGAGTATATATCAGGTTTCTATGTTATTTATATTGTTTATGATGTCATATTAGAAGAATTATGATAGATAAATAAGCCATAGAGTTGATATTAGCATCATATTCCTGCCTCCTGAGAGCAGGAATTCCACTGGAACGGATTACGTAATGGCATATCAATTAATTTAAATAAAGAAAATTGACTCAGCATACAAGCAGATCAGGATATGAGCAAGGTCATAGAATGGATTGAACTCTTAAGCCGAGGCTCCACTGTACACCTACCATCCGACTTACGACCTGCTCGACATACAGTGGTCCCTCGATAATCGTAGGGCTCGAGAGTCATAGATTTTGGAAATCATAGCGATATTTTCGTATAAACATGGACTCGCTAATCATAGACTGACTTGCGAATAGTAGGTCGTCCGGGACGCGTACGCACGGTGTGAGCCGGGGCGGCCTCCCTACCCAGCCAGTCTGGCATTGTTTACCAGTGAGCGAAAGTCCCCTCACGTGCTCCTACGAAATATTTCATAATATTCCACTCATTTTAGTGCCTGCAGGCGTGCATGAGCGTGTTCGATAGGAGTGAATGGAGATGAATGGTATTTAGGACCTGACGATCTGTTGGAGTGTGAGCAGGGTAATATTTAGTGAAGGGATTCAGGCAAACCGGTTATTTTTATATAGCCGGACTTGAGTCCTGGAAATGGGAAGTACAATGCCCGCACTCTAAAGGAGGGGTTTTGGGATATTAGCAGTTTGGAGGGATATGTTGTGTATCTTTATAGGTGTATGCTTCTAAACTGTTGTGTTCTGAGCACCTCTGCAAAAACAGTGATTATGTGTGAGTGAGGTGAAAGTGTTGAATGATGATGAAAGTACAGTGGACCCCCACATAACGATCACCTCCCAATGCGACCAATTATGTAAGTGTATTTATGTAAGTGCGTTTGTACGTGTATGTTTGGGGGTCTGAAATGGACTAATCTACTTCTCAATATTCCTTATGGGAACAAATTTGGTCAGTACTGGCACCTGAACATACTTCTGGAATGAAAAAGTATCGTTAACCGGGGGTCCACTGTATTTTCTTTTTGGGGATTTTTTCTTTTTGGGTCACCCTGTCTCGGTAGGAGACGGCCGACTCGTTGGAAAAAAAAAAAGCACTAAATAAGCTACCATGGCTCCAAAGAAAGCTCCTAGTGCCAAGCCTTTGGTAAAGAAGGTGAGAAATACGATTGAATTTAAGAAAAACATCATTGAACAATATGAAAGTGGCTTAAGTGCGGCCGAACTGGCCAGGATGTATAACAAACACTATACAACCATATGTTCCATCGTGGCCAAGAAAAAGGAAATCAAGGACGCTGTTGTTGCAAAGGGGGTAAATATGCTGACAAAAATGAGATCACCAGTACTCAAAGATGTTGAGAAGTTATTATTGGTGTGGATAAACGAGAAACAATTAGCAGGAGATAGTCTTATGACGTCGCTTATTTGTGAAAAGGCTAGGCAGTTGCACGACGATCTGGTAAAGAAATTGCCTGTAAATAGTGGTGATGTGAGTGAATTTAAGGCTAGTAAAGGTTGGTTTGAGAGATTTAAGAACCATAATGGCATACACAGTGTGGTAAGGCATGGTGAGGCTGCCAGTTCGGACCACAAAGCGGCTGAAAAATATGTGCATGAATTCAAGGAGTACATACAGGCTGAAGGACAAAGCTGAACAAGTGTTC